GGAATTCCTCAACAGAAATCAAATTGCAATTAAAAAAAAAAGGTTATATTTCCATAAAGGAATTTTTTTTATATAAACTAATATTTTTTTGTGGTATTTGTTACTTGCCCTTCAGATTGCGATTGTCTACTATGTTTAATTTTGTGGTTATTTGAAAGGAATAGTAATTGCATAGTTGAAAATTAGACATTGCAAGCCTTGACACTTTTATTTAGAATTTAGGATTCTCAATCTAGAATGATTCTGATTAATAAAAGTAAAAGCCAAGAATTACATTGCAGTGTACGCAGGCATAAGAGTAATTTCTCTTTTCAGTTTACTATTGAAAAACAGTTTGGAGAGTTCTGTCATTGAGATGGATATTTGTGACTGTAGCAGGTTTCTGCCCATCATAAATGTTCCCTCAAACAGTTATTTAATTACTAGCTGATTACTTTCAGATGTGCGTGCATTGAAAATCATTGATATAGTGAAGCTTGTAGCTATCGATAGCAGAGCATGTTTGAATGTCTGAGGTCAGGACTTCTTCTGAATAATGAAGTTTAAATAGGAATTAATCTAAAATTGAGACTAAATTTCTCTTGAGACTGTTTGGATGGAGTATTCTCACATCTTTCCATCAAAATGGCAGTGACCAAACCAAATTATGTGCATTTGGGTGATCCTTTTGTGCTCTTTTTAGAAACGAGACAAGACGTTGATAGCATGATGATGTGGAGAAGTATCACTTTTTTATTTTACTGAGGTGCTAAAATATACTCGTTGCTCCACAGATGGCAAAGCAGTTCAGTCCTGCAAGAGAGACAAACGTTAATTAGGAAACCCAAGAAAGGAATAATTTGAGTAGGGTTTTGTGTTGATGCCAAGTATCCCAGCAAGCTAAATCTGCTTGAAGTAGAGACAAAGGCACGAGCCTGAATAGTAGACCAGTCCTGAAGGGATTCTGGTCTTAGGTGAGTTGGTTGATTTGAAGTAGTGGAAAAGCTCAGATAGCCTCAGCCGGGGTCGTGCAGCTCGTGTCTTGTGTTAGAAGCTGGAACGCAGAACTGAGCAGCTGCTTCTGGATGCTGGCTAGGTGGCATGCTATGGTCATGTGTTGTGGCATGCAGCTGGGAACATCTGGCATTTAAAGGTGCTGTGTGGTGTGGTAGGTGATGTACTACTTGCTATTGTTCTTGCTGCCCCTGCGGCTTTCTCATTTTGCGGCATTTTGGTTGTTATCCTGGGAGGGCTGCCTGGGAGCTGGAGTAAGATCGTGTAATGCGTATGTTGTATCGCAGTAGAATGGGGTTGGTCTGTCCAAGCCTGGAAGGCCACCTTACGGATTCAGCCCTGAGGCGTTGTTGCCTTCTCCCCAGAATCCTTTTATGACTGATGAATTTACTAAGTTATCTTCACACTGCTCATTTAAATGCTTTTTGTTGGTTTATTACTGAATATTTAAAGAAAAAAAAATAAAAGAAGGAGCTCAAAGAACCCATTCCAGATCAGCTTCATATTTTGTCTTGTTTAATATCTTGACCACTGGCAGGTATTTTTCAGGACTTCTTTTGGTTCAGCACTTTAACCAGCACGTGTTCTTTACGTGCTGATACTTTTGTTGGGCCCCTGTTTTGAGAGACAGGGAAGGTGATTGGTGCCTCCAAGTGTTTACAGCTGACATTGAAAAACCCGAACCCTTATGGCTTTGCAGAGCTGCGGTTTTTTGTACAGTATGTCTATATGGGCCTGAAATGTCCTCGGTGGTCTGATGGCTATTAGGCTTTCCTAATTAAATTTAAAAGAAACTTAAAACTCTCACAATATTGATGAACAAGGTAATAGAGAGTTTTGAATGACCCCAATAATGTTCTTTATAAATAACTCTTATTCTAGTTTATTTGAAAATTCTGTTGTCCTATTTGATTATAAATTTTAAATATTACCAATGAAAATTATAATTTGAGGTTTTTTTTGCCGTATTATTTTCCTAATTTGCACGAGAAAGATATATATATTTCCTAAATATTTCACTGAGTAAACTTTTCTGAATAGTGCAAGATAAAAATTTCCAGTACATGATGCTGAATTCAGACAAAGCACTGCAGTATTTTGCATGTAATTCAAATGTGGATTAAATATACAAATGAAAGAGAGTGAATGATTTAAATATTATTTAGATCAATGAAATGCAATAAGCAGAAGTGCAAATGTTTATACAAAGCACTAAAAATGTTATAGCAGAGCTTAGTTTTGCTGTTTACATAATGAAACATTAACTTAATATTGATAATGTCAGCACCTTTAATCCTTACTCTCGATGTAGGTTTCTATTATAGTGAAATAAAAAGGAAACAAAAAGGCTTAAAAGCAGCAGCAAAAGTAGACTTTAAACAGTGCAAGTAGTTTAAAAGTGAGTGCAAATTCCAAAACAGACAAAGAAACCTACTGTGGCATGTATTGTCTGGTATGTAAGACCTAAGACCTAGGCATTCATACGCAGTAATTATATGTTAAGTGTGATGATGATATTACCAATACTTGACATTTCAGTGATCTGACGTAGCCAGTGACCTGGCTGCAATCCTTACGGAATGCCTAGTAAATCTGTCTTCTTGTTTTCAGCACCCTCGTCCCATGTACATGCCTTGCATCTGGAAATGCCTTTAACCAATAGTCTAAAGTTACCCAAAGGGAATAGTAAAAAAAAGAGGTCTTCCACATCAGTGAGCTCTGAAGGGACAGAGATACAGTGCTCTGTGCCCGTAAAGGAGAAATGTTTTGAGAGTCTGAAGGAGAAAATATTAAAGAACGTGATTGAGAAGGACAAGCATTCAGAAGTTGGTAAACTACAATACTTTTTGTTTCCAGTGCCTTAGACAATAAAAATAATCGTAAAGTGATGTTAAAAATAATGTCATTGTTTATATGTTTCTTCTTATTATGTACCATTAGGACTTTTTACGGTCTAATGAGTTTTACGAGAAAGTGGGTCATCAGCCAGACATTGCACTTATGTCGTATATTCTTCTTCAATTTGCAGGTGCACTGAGAATGGAACGGAAAGGAAAACTGGAAGAGAAAAGTTCTTCAACATACGGTACGTATGGAGCAATAATATTTTTAGGACAAAAAAGGAAAAATTCTGGAATACCTGATGTCTCTGAAGAGCAAATGTAAAAACGTAAAATATTTCCTGGGCCCAGCTGCACTACTTTTGTTTGTTTAGGTCTTAAAAACAGCTTTTATATGTATGACAAGTTTATAGTAGTAGAACAATTTTATAAGAGAAAACAAAAGGATCAAGCCAGTAGCGATGAGGTGCTTGAAAAAGAAAAGCTTTTTTTTTTTTTTTTTTTTCAATTGAGTTAGTGATACTGCCTTTCTTTATACTGACTTTATACTGCAAAATATTTGACAATTACTGAAAGAAAATATAAATTAAGAGTGCTTTAGTTTTACCCTGTGTTTAAAGAAAAAAAAATATTAAAAAACTATTAGAGATGCGCAAGAATTCATTAAGTGTTTCTGCCTTGGTTTTCCAGGAGGTAAAAGTTCTGTTTCTGTATTCCTCAAGAAGATAATAAGACTCTGATCTGCATGCAGGAAACAGTCCTTAAATACTGAGTTTAATGATTTATTTTCTGTAACAAGTCAATTTCCTCATTATTTTTCTAAGCAATCAGCAGTGAGATAATGATTATGGAGTGACGATGTTGTGGGATATATTTTGTCTGGGGAAAATTCACAGGTTAAATAGAATTTTTTTGAGACAAAGTATTTGTCATCATGTGTACACAGTGCTTAGGAGTGAACTGCAGTATAAAAAAATGTATCGTAAATTTTAGTCAGAATCAGTTTTCTGCGAGGATGTTGCTGTGTAGTAGAAAGTGCTGACAGCATCAGCAGTTTTGTGACACTGAAATTTCCTTCAATTGACTTTCTGTAGGCCTAACATGTTTTTAAGATGATCTTACCTTTTGAGTTTGAAATTTTGCACTTTTGAAAGCTTTTTCTTTTGCCCAAACCTTCTTGTTATAAGCTGTAAGTGAAATCAGTGTTATAAGCTATTTAAATGATGTCACTTTTTTGTCTGCTTTGCTATGTCTCCTTCTACTATGATATCTCATTTGGAAATATTTAAAATAGTAAAATGTTATTTGCTAAGAGAGACTTCTTTGAACCATGCTAGTAGCAATTAGTAAAAGAGATGCCCAATATACCAAGTAAATTAACTGAATCACTTTGATCTGCCTAGGCAACTGGAATACTTGATTTTTGAATGTCATGTTTAGGTTAAGCCAAATGAAGGAAGTAATTTGGAATGGTACTGCTGTTTTAAAATATGTAATTTTTATTTCAGGTAAAAAGAAAGAAAAGGAAAAGGAGAAAAAAGAGAAAAAGGAGAAAGATCATAAATCAAAACAGAAAAAGAAGAAGAAAAAAAAGAAGAAATCTAAGCAGCACGGTGAGTTTAACTTTTTTTAAATAAGTCAAAACACTCAGGGTATTTCTTGCATTAGATATTAAAAATTGTTTCTAAACAATATGAACGTCAAATTTTAGAAATTTGAAATAATAGATTTTGGCCTTACATGTTGAAAGGACACTTAAGTCTATGACCTCATTTTATTATTTATAGTGTGTCCGTACGTGATAGACAGATATTTCACAGATGTTTTTCCTTCCTTCAAAAGATATGTTCACTCATCTCTTCAGATTCTTTATTTGAAGCTCTGTATACACATCTTTCTCAGTTTGCTTGATGTTAAAATTACTTTAGTATCTAGTCTGTTGCTAAATTTCAGTGATTTACTGTATAAAGTTCAGCCCCCCCCTTAACAATTAATCCGTAACAGCTGAGGTTGGTGTCTCTGTTGCAACAACCTTGTCTGTTGTCTTGACAAATGGTGATTCCGTTTGTCTTTGTCTCACTTCCCTATTCTGGTTCTTTGATTGTATCACCCATCTCTTTCTGTTCTGTTATTTCCATTCCCTAGAAGGGGGCAAAAACCAATCTGTTTTTTAGATATGAGACTCTAGGTAGCTTGCACTTTTTTAACAAAACAAAAAAGCCTTTTCTAAACCACTTAGTGCTTTTTTTTTTTTCTTTCTTGTTCGAGAAGTACTCCTGTAACAGTGTGGTTTAAAGTTTTAGTGCCATCCCTTCTGTAACTCTCCTTGGCATGATTTCTGTGGAAAAAATGGACAATTTTTGGTTTTGTTTTGTTTTTTTTTGTAATGAAAAGATAACTGCCCTGTTGACCAGTAGAGTTTTACTGTGTCGTCTTTCCCTTTTCCACATCCTTTGGTTCTTTTAATCCCCTATAAAATCACGTTATAGGTTTCTTGATTTACCTTCTTTTGCATCCAGTGCAGTCTTAGTTGCAGCATTATGGCAATAAAAATAACACATGGGCAAATACAGACTCACTGTCTTTTTTTCTTGCCAAAGACTGAACTTTATTTTTTGTGTATTATGCCTGCTCACTTCAAAAAGTGTTTCAGGACTTAAAATAATACTACTTACTCTTATCTCACTGCTGGGTGGTTGGGTTGTGGGTTTTTTTGAGAACATCTTAAATATTCAAAAATGAGAACATAGACTATCCTGTCTATGCCTATCAGATTGACTTTCATAGAATCATAGAATAGTTTGGGTTGGAAGGGACTTTTAAAGGCCACCTAGTCCAACCTCCCCTGCAAGGAGCAGGGACATCTTCAACTAGATCAGGTTGCTCAGAGCCCCATCCATCCTGACCTTGAATGTTTCCAGAGATGGGGCATCTACTACCCTCATTGTGTAAAAAAAAAAAAAAAAAAAAAACCCAAAAAACCAAAAAACCCAAAAAAAACCACACACCAAAAAAACCACAAAAACCCACCAAAAAACCCCAATTCTTCCTTTTATCAAGTCTAAATCTTCCCTCTTTTAGTTCAAAACCATTACCCCTTGTCCTTTCACAACAGGCCCTGCTAAAAAGTTTGTCCCCATCTTTCCTGTGGGTGCCCTTTAAGCACTGAAAGGCAGCAGTAAGGTCTCCCCGGAGCCTTCTCTTCTCCAGGCTGAACAACCCCAACTCTCTCAGCCTGTCCTCAGAGGAGAGGTGCTCCAGCCCTCCGATTTTTGTGTCCGTCCTCTGGACCCGCTCCAACAGGTTTGTGTCTATCCTGAACTGAGGGCTCAAAGCCTGACCTGAGCTGGACTCAGTACTCCAGGTGGGGTCTCACCAGAGAAGAGTAGAGGGGCAGAATCACCTCCCTTGACCTGCTGGCCACACTTCTTTTGATGCAGCCCAGGATACGGTTGGCCTTCTGGGCTGCAAGTGCACATTGGCAGCTCGTGTCCAGCTTTTCATCCTCCAGTACCCCCAAGCCCTTCTCAGCAGGGCTGCTCTCAATCCCTTCATCCCCCAGCCTGTATTGATACTGGGCGTTGCCCTGACCCAGGTGCAGGACCCTGCACTTGTCCTTGTTGAACCTCATGATGTTCACATGAGCCCACTCCTCAAGCCTGTCCAGGTCCCTCTGGATGGCATCCCATCCCTCAGGTGTTTCAACTGCCCCACTCGGCTTGGTGACATCTGGAAACTTGCTGAGGGTGCACTCCATGACGCTGTCTCTGTCATTGATGAAGATATTGAACAGTAGTGGTTCCAATACGAACTCCTGAGGGACCCCACTCATCGTCAGTCTCTATCCAGATATTGAGCTGTTGACCACTACCCTCTGGATGTGACCATCCAACCAATTCCTCATCCGTCAAATAATCCACCCATCAAATCTATACCTCTCCAATTTAAAGAGGAGGACTTTACTTGTGTGTACCTTGAGAGTGTACTTTACTAGATATCAATCATAATAACTTGATTAAAACTTCTTTGATTAAAATTTCTTAAAATATGAAATGGTAAAAACTGAAATTCTGTCAAAGAATTTTCTAGAAATTTTTCCTCAAGAACATGTGGAAAACCCCTATACATTACAAGGAGCTTCAGTGCTTGAATGTGAACTGCAATAATCTAGGTTTCATGTTTTCACCGTCTTTATATTGGGGTAATATAATTTTAAACTATAAACTTCAGTTGCTTATTTTACCTAAAAATTATTTATTTACCTAAAATATCTACCTGTTCATTTACCTAAAAATTATTGGGATTTTTTTTACTTGCACTGGGAAGGCATCTAAGTATTTGCAAGAAGATACTGGTAAATGCTGGGTATGCAAGAGCCAAAGTAAGGAACAAAAACTCCAAGACTCTAAGCTATTTCATCTGTGATTATTAAAACATGGCAAAGTGAGTTAATACTCTGCAGGAGTTCCGTTTTTAGGAAGATCTTAAAGTAATGTGCCATCACCTTGCGTACAGCAGTATCCCCAGCAGCACTCTCAATGCAGTTTGATAAAAGTGAGAAAAATGTTTTATAGCTCTTCTGTCCTTTGAGTAGACGACACTGACTGTTGGTGTAAAAGTGTTTGAAAGAGAACTTGCGTTAAAAATAAGCAAAATAATGATTGAAGTATTTGAAAAAAAGATCTTTTGAGTAGTACTGTTTTAATAGGTAACAAGTTGAGCAATGGATTTAAAATACTTTCAAAACTACAAATGTGTATTTTGTAATGGGGAGGTGTTGATGTAACATTTCGCTAAGCCTTTGGTTTCATGTATTTCCAAAGACAGAGGTAAATAGATAAGTTATCTGTCATGTGGTGTTGAATTATGAAATTTAGATGAATCATCAGAAAAGGCTGATGCAATGCACAATTCAGAAGGTTTGGGAGGAGTTGGTCAGACTGATGGTTCTCATCTGAGCGTGTGATACTTTGGTGTTTCGCAAAGTGCTGTGCTGGAGATCAGCGAGTCTCAGACTTCGCACTGTCTGGGGTGCACTGTGTTCTCTGGTTCCATACAGCCGCGACATGCAATGGGTCCTGCAAACCCTATTCATCCCAATTGATTCAAGTAGAGTACCTCTTGTAAATTAACATCAGAGCTGAGTTCTTTTGCCCAGTATTGTTCTTTGGTTTTATCTTCTTGAGGTTGTAAGGTGCTTTGTTGTGGTTTTGGGTTGTTTTTTTTTTTTTCCTTCTTTTTATTCCTCTGGTCTTTCTGCCAACTTGTCTTGAAACTTAGAAGCTTGGCAGAGGTACCACGATTAGGTCCCAACTTATAGGAGCTGTATCCAATGCTTGTAAATATTAGGAGAAAACTATATACTTCGCAATGCCCAAACAAATAGAAATCTTAATTTCGGATACAGAAAGCAGTCTGAGAAAAAGCTTCATCATTTTATTCTTTGCAAATTCATCTTGTGAAAATCTGTTTCTAGAAATCCAGAGGCATTCTCCCTGGATACTTTTTTAACTTGGGGAAAAACGAAAAATGCTTTGGCAGATTCTGACTTCAGTGTCTGACCGTGGAAAAAGCTCATAGAAAAATGATCTGTCAGAAGAAGCAGTCTTTCTCCAGGAGTAGCTCGCTTGGCTGTCAGGGCATGGGCAGAGATGAAAGTGTGTGAGCCATGCTCCGTTCCTTTGGAATCAAATTGAGGCATCTTGGGGAAGAAGAGGAGTGGGCACATTGTGTGCTCCAGACAGGTTTTGTGCAAGGCTCTAAAACAAAAACCCCAACTAAAGCTTTTTGGGGCTCTGAGTATATGCTTGATTGACTGTTCATATAAAACCCATATTACACAGAAGGTAGGTAATTTCTGTTATTTTTACTGTTCCATTGCAGTGATGTTGATAACAATACAGCATGAAGTAATCAACTCAACTGCTCATTGAGTTGACTCGCCTACAGTGAATATGCTTAGGAAATGTGGTAGATAGTGTGTTTTTGACAGGAGAAAGTAAACATGAACAGTGGGTGTATGGAAAGTATGTACGAGAGGCGCATATTGTGGAACCCATTGCGAGATATAGGTGGTAGTGGGAATGCTTCCTACAGAAGGATGAATGCATAGAAATCAGATTACTTATATTCACAGTAATAAGTTTTAAGAGGAGTAAATGGATAGCTTACTCTTAATTACCATTTGACCAGCGTAAGACAGACATGGACCCGCTCAAGCGGGTCCGGAGGAGGGCCACAGAGAGGATCAGGAGACTGGAGCACCTCACCTATGAAGACAGGCTGAGAGATTGTTTAGCCTAGAAAATACAAGGCTCTGGGAAGACCTTAAAACAGCCTTCCAGAACCTAAAGGGGGCCTACAGGAGAGATGGGGATGGACTCTGTCAAGGAATGTAGTGATAGGACAAGGGGTAATGGTTTTAAACTGAAAGAGGGGAGATTGAGATTAGATATTAGGCGACCACCTTAGTCCAAAAGGTGATCCAGAGAGCTGCTCTGGGTAACACATCATGATGGGGTTCACACCTGGATAATGGGGGTGATGGTGCTGCTGGGACAGCCCGGAGGGGGGCTTGGGCAGGGTGTGTTTGTTTTTTGCCTGCTCATCGTGCTCCTCTGGGCTTTTGCATATCTTCCTGGGATGCTGCTGGGCCCACCAACAGCTGATGGCTCCTGGGATGGGCCTGGGAGCATCTCAGAAGGATTTTCTTTGGGCTCCCTGTGCTCCTCTGCAGGGGTGCAGACAAGCTTTTATCGCTTAACCTGACAGGGCCATCTGCAGTTACTTCTAGGTAGCAATGTTGGTAGTGCTACAAACAGACCTAAGGCAAAAAGAGAGAGCTACCAGCAGCATCTCTAGGGACAGCAGATGGTACAGGATGAATTGTGGAAAAAGACAACTGTATAATGCTCTAGGAAAAATTACTCGTCTGTACATTCAGAGATGGGGGGAGTTAAATGGGTAATACTTGTTTCAGCTATTAAACTTCATTATGTTTCTTACTAGTAATTTTTTCAATAAAATGTTATGAAGATCTTTTGCCATTTCATACTTAGTTTCATCATCTTAATACCTCAATGTTGATATTCTTTACTTCTGAAGATAATGTTGCTGTATATTTAAATATTCTTTTTTTTTTTTGCATTTGTCATAAACTTTACTTTTGTAACAGTGACTTATTTTCTTTTTAACTTTTCAGATTATTCAGATTATGAAGATAGTTCTGTTGAATTCTTGGACAGGTGCTCCTCTCCATTAACACGGTCCTCGGGGAGCTCTCTGACTTTGCGCAGCATGTTCTCGGAGAAGAATACATCATACCAGTATCCAAGAGCTATCTTGTCTGTTGACCTTAGTGGAGAAAGTAAGTTGGCTGAACAGCATCTCTCAGTTTGTAGATTTAATTCTTTAAGAAAGAGAATTTTCAAGTAAGTAATTTGGTTTATGTTTGGGATTGTAGCTATAAATATGGTGACTGATTTCTATTTCATCTATTTAAACCAAAATGCTTACACTCCTCAAGCTGTTCTGCATTCTTGCTTTGGTTAAGTGTTGCTACTCTGCTTCTGAGGAAATGACATTAAAGGCATTTTGTAGAATTCGTCAAGAAAACAGAAGTGTGTTTGAGAGTGATTTTTTGCTGTATGCAAAAATAACTGCCAAAAAACCCTCTCCATAAAGCATTGCATCTCTGCACACAAAATTTCACTTGTATTTGTTTTTACTAGACCTTTCAGATGTGGAGTTCTTGGATGATTCCTCTACAGAGAGTTTGTTACTTAGTGGTGATGAGTACAATCAGGATTTTGATTCCACTAACTTTGAAGAGTCTCAGGATGAAGATGATGCTCTGAATGAAATTGTTAGATGCATTTGTGAGCTGGATGAAGAAAATGGCTTTATGATTCAGGTGAAGAAATTTGTGGGGGTGGATGTATTTTTCCATGTGAATTTCTTGCTAGTGAAGGTGCTCTTTTTGATGTGTTGGAGACCAAAGTTAGGTAGAGAGCTGTAAATAGAAGTGAACAATAACAAAATATTTCCACGTTCTGCACTTGGTGTGACTCTGTTCCGTGTGTGCAGAACTACTCTAGGATGGGGTTTCTCTGACAAATCCATATGTAGAACAGGTTTGTAAGGAAAGGTAACCTTTTTTTTTATAGCCAGTTGATCAATTTGGAATGAAGTATCCTTTCCCACACACAAATCATTGCTTCTGTCCACAGACCATCCGGATTATACCAGCCCTTCTGGTTTGGCCCTTGTACTTTGCAGTACCAATTGTAGAAATCACTGTGGTCATTGTAAATGTACCTCAGCTGTATCCAAGATCTCTGCTATACAGATGTTAATACTGTCACTGTGCTGTGTGTGATATGTGTGCTTCATCTTTAGAATAGCAGTTCTCAAACTAGAAATTGCTAGCTGGCTTTAGAAACTAAGAATTTAAATCTTACTTGGTGTAGACAAAAGGGAAGAAGAGTATACAGTGTCTGCATAGCATTCAGGTGCTGATGGATTACAGCTACTGCTGCTAATTTATTTGTACTCCAATGAGGAGAGCATTTCCCATCTAGTAATGAATAATAGAAAGTCTTTGTCTCAAGGAATTCATAATATAGTGATTAGGTCAGGGGCAAACAACAGTGAGGAAGAACTCAATTGTCAATAACTTTCAGAACGCTAGGAACTACTTGTGGTTTGTTTTGTTTTTTTCCCCTCCACTCAAAAAACAGGTTTGTATTCAACTATTAATGTGGTACATTTTTTGTTGAAAATACGGAACCTTTCTAGTTAAGATTTGAAGAAAGCAAGTATGACTGTCCTGTGTTAATGGACTTAGTCTTTTGGAAATGACAGAAAGGCCTGAAAGTGAAGGACACAAAGACTGTCCCTGGGAACACGTTACTGAAATGCTGTGCAGTGTTGGAGCAGCTAAGCAGGAGTTCAGCTATGGTAATACCGTGGAAAAATGGACTGGTGTAGACATCTTTGGAGTGAGGAGAGGAAACTAGCTAGAGCAGTATGACAAGAGGAAAGGTGACTTCAGTGTTTTGAATAGGTTGATGATGCTCAAAAGCATGTCAAAGCAAAGAGGAGAGATTTTCAGTAATAAACAAGCAGATATTTAGAACATAGAAAATGCTGAGTTGAGAAAAGGAAATGTATTTTTACGTGGTAGTTTTCTGCCTGTTTCTGAAGTCCAATGACAGCCTGATTTTTCTTCTTCATGCCTTGTCTCACTGAGAGCAACCAGTTTGCTGTTTCTAGACCCTCGTGTCGTACCACTTCTGTTTTGCTCTCCTATTCTCTTGTTTCTCCTCTTTCATTTTCTCTTCATTTTCTTTTTCTTTTAGATTTTCCATTGGTGCGATATTAAAAACACATCTTTCTAGCGCACTGGAGAGATGCTTTGTAAATATAAATAATTAAACTGAAGAGTTTTCTACTTTTCACTGTTATGCTGTAATGTATTACATTATCTTTCTACTTTACTGTAATATTATACTCCTGTCTTATGTTTCACTACTAAATATTTAGGTGCTAAAATACTGAATGTTGTAATAAAATATTATTAAATGTTACATCTTCAATTTCTTTTTTCCAGTCTGGAATTTGTGGTTGAGGTAACTTTCAGAATTAGAGCTATTTTTTAGCTTGATGTCTCCGCCTACCCAAACACAAATTGCCCAACTAAAATAATCTTACTCAAACCAGATATTTAAGTTAAACTGCTGTTCTCTGCATTTTGACGATACAAGAAATAGCTTCTGATTTTTGAATTTACTTATCTCAGTTTTAGTTTTTGCTTTTGTTTTTTTTTCTAATGTCAGTGTGAAGAGTGCTTGTGTTGGCAGCACAGTGTATGCATGGGACTGTTAGAGGACAGCATTCCAGAGCAGTACATCTGTTACATCTGCAGAGATCCACCAGGTACGGATAAAGCACCTTTATCTGCAGCTGTCTGCTTAGGATTTTTAAGCAGAGATGTTATGCGTTGCTTAAACTGTCAAAGCTTTTTCTGTTTTGTGTTATCTGTTATATTATGGGGCAAGTGCTTCTAAGTTTGGCTCTGAGCAGATAATTTCCTGTTAGTAACATCTTGTTCAGCTATGCTAACTCTTATTCGTGATCTTAATTACCGTCGCTTTAGTTGTTGAAACTTAGTTCCCCCAAAACCTTAGCACTTTTTCATGTCGTTGTTTGAAAAGTCTTTCTAAACAAACCATTCTTGTTCAGCGATCTGTTATGCCTATGTTTGGCATCACATCTCTTCATTTAAATATTTTTTAGAGAAAAAGGACTCGTTACCACAGTGCACTCAGATATGCTGTGGATGTCGTTTCATATCAATTGCAATTTTAGAATATTTGTGCTTGTCCAGAATTGTGTAAATAAAAGTGTGGAACTGGATATATAAAATATGAAAAAATCTAGCACTTCCAATGGTAAACCATAGTGCGCAAACAGCAGATCTTGAACTTAAGATTGTTAGGATAAGTTTGAAATGGTAAGAATTAAGAAAAGTGTGTTTAGTTTTAAACTGAATTAATTTGACCAGGAAAATGTTGATTTTTAAAAATGATTCTGTCCATAAACCCATTTTTCTTAGCAGTTATTTGGAGAAAAACTATACGATTTAGAAGAAAGTTTTTAGTATTTTTCCTGACAATTTATACAAACTCATATACATGTCTTCTGGTGAAATATCCAATAGCCCAGCTGCTTCAAAAGGGAAGTGAGATTACACGCCCAAATTTACTTTCATTCTGAATTTAACAAATAAAATCTGAAAACTGTGTGCAGAGGTATAAAACACCACGGGTTTTATTAGTTATTTTTGAGAAGAAAATTTAGGAAAACGGAGCTGGGCAGGTGTGACTTTTTCCATTTGCTCCAGTCTCAATCTAAATTGATGTTATAGAGTCTTGTTTGATAGTTCTGTGTGGTATACATTTTGAGCGGTCAGGCTTTTTCTTATTAAAACCAGCTAATTTGTCTTGTGTCTTTCCCTGCACTGTACTAGGTACTTCCTTATCCCCTGCTATGCAGAGACTGTGTCCCTAATTTTTATCTTCTCTCCCTTCCTAACCATTACTTCTTTTCTTTCTGTGTCAGGAGAAAAAGGTCATTCACAATGTCAGTATTTTAAAGTGTATTGGGATAATGGGCAGAAAGGAGATAGACAGGGTATTCTCCTGAAAGGTATGAAGGGCTTCCATCAACCTGTTCTTTGTTCTGTATATGATGATAGTCTGATATGAAATTGAGTGTAAGATATTGCGGTCTTAGTCAACCTGTATGTCTGGGTTCCTCATTGTAAACAATAATATTGGAATAATTAGCTTTATACACTTCTAGTTTTCTTTTGGGGTTTTTTTTTGTTGTTTGTTTTATGGGTTTTCTGTCTTTTAAATAGTTATTGAGTTGCTGTAGAAGCATTAGCTAAATACTCATTCATGGTTGTTGAGTTAAGGTAGTAGATGTTACCATAGCATGGGAGACCCACTTACAGCAGTATCCTGTCTAGTAGTGTCTAGTAAAAGGCACCTCAAAAGAAGAGTATAAGAAATCTGCTGTCAGATAACTTTGAAATGTCTGCTTTTCATGAGGCCTTCTCCTGATTTCTAAGTAGATACTGACTTCTGGTATTGAAGCAAAATATTTGTCTTTTGGAAACAAACTAGGTGTTTTGGGTATGTCCATAAAAAGTCCACTTTCTAATGTTTCTCTTAGTAACTTAGGTATTCTTTTTTAATAAAACTGCAGTAGTTAGATAAATAAAATGCTGATTTAAACTTTTTTTTTTTGCCGTTATATTGATAATAACACAGTTCTTAATATCCTGTGTTTTCATCACAAAGATGATTGGATTTTCATTTCAAATGCCATTTAGAGAGGTCTTGAGATTTCTGGTTTATTTTTGTTTAAGTGTTAAGAGTTTCCTCTTAATCCATGAAAACTGGATTTTATAGTATTAATAGCAAGATCTTGAATCATTCTTCATGGTTGTTAGGAGACATTTAGAAGAGTACAGCATATAATTATAACACTCTAGTTTTAAATACAGTTGTGCTGCGGCTTTAGATGGCCCTCAATTTGTTTATTGCTTACCCCAGGTCAGAGGTGGAGTGCCAAATACCTTTATGATAAAGACTGGCTAAACAATGGACACATGTGTGGATTATCATTTTTGAAAGAAAACTACTCCCATCTTAATGCCAAAAAGATTGTGTCAACACATCATCTACTGGCAGATGTATATGGTGTAACGGAAATACTGCATGGACTGCAGTTGAAGATTGGGATATTAAAGTAAGTATCAGTCCAGGGTTTATTCTCCAGCTTTGTCTATTTAGGTAGCACAGACTGCCGTTGTTCCATATGCACTATTCTCTCACGTTAAACCACTTTCTTGTATAATAGTTTAAATAATTCAAGTGCAAGATGTAGAGTATTCTCAGCTTCAGTGGGAGTTAGGTGTTCAGCACCTGAGTGGATCTGGTATATTGGGATTATTAATGATTTTTTTTTTAAATAGTCAGTTTTGTGTTAAAGGAACGTTCTGGATTTTTTACTAAATTGATAAGTGACCGAGGAATAATTGCATGTTTGATAATGTTGCCAGTCAATAGCTGTGATGTAGCAGAAGTGGATGCTTAATAATTCAGTGCTGTAAGTGGTATTCTCTGTAAGTTGCTTTTCCTCCCCTTTGTTGCAGAAATAAGCATCACCCAGACCTTCATCTCTGGGCTTATTCAGGGATGCGGAAAGAACAAGAACAAATAACTGTTGGGGTAGAGAAAAAACTAGTGACTTTGCCGGATGCAGTTAATCCAACTGAAAGGACGTGTCACAGTCAAAACCATAAAGACCTGCCTAGTATACCCCAGAAGATGGAAGAAACATACATCACAAGTGAGCACAGTTACCAAAAACCACAGAGTTTTGGTCAAGACTGCAAAGCAGTCACTGACCTTATGAGCTCAGATGATGAAGATACAAGTAGTTTTGAGGAAGACCAGGAATTTCACACTGAGAATAAAAACTGTTTACAATATTCTTTTAAAGATGATGGCATGAATGAGCACGTAAGTATTATTCTTCATCTGGGAAGTTTCTTAGTTGGAAAAAATATGTTCAATCTGATAAAACTCACTGCATACAAGCATTTAGAAATGTTCATTGGTATAAGTCGTCGTATTCTATCAACTTAGCAGAAATCACTAGAAGCAAAGTTGGATCACTGAAATACTTTCAGGTTAAGTATACCCATTTCAGCTGGTGAATGAAATGCAAAGTACGGTTAAAATATTGCCTGTGTTAAAACTGTTTATGCTTAACCCAATGTTTTGGGACAAAAAACAATTCTATGCTTAAAATGCAGGGTCTTGAAACAGGACTTAGATGCTTTTTGCAAGGTGAGAAAAACAGGACAAGTTTCCTTTTTTCCTCTCAATTCTGTTTTCTATATGTGGGGTGGGTTTTTTTGTTGTTGTTTTTTAAACTGAGATTTGTAACAGTGTTTATTATTGTACCATCTTATTTTAATAGCAATGCTATCTAGAATTCTGTCCACAAGTAATTATTTACTGACCAAGTAATTTCACCTCACGTGCAACTTCTTTTGAGTCTTTTATATTGCATATTTCTTCTAATTGAACGTTTCACAAGTTTTTAGGCAGGATTATATTTGGCTATTTAAACATCTCTTTCTCATTTTTGCGTTAATGGTTTGAATCCATTACTTTGTGGAAAAGGTCTGAAAGTTGTTAGTCTTGTTTTAGTGAAGAGTTCTCTTTGAGCAAAAAAAACAAGTGAAACAATTTTCTGTTTTCTACAATACCAACTGTGTGAGAATAAGTTGCCCAACTCATCACCCTTTTGAAGTACACTTTGTCGTGTGGAAGAAATGAGTAAGATATGTCTTTTTTTCCTTTTGATTTTAGTTTTAAATGTGGCGTGTAAGCTATATAGCGCGAACGGAAATTTTTGGCTCATTCTAGTTAGAAATAACTGTTTGTTTGCTAAATCACATGATTATATTCAGTTTGTATAGTAAGGAGGCATACAGCAATGTGAAATACACTTTCCTTCCAACACTAGCTTAACTTGTCATTGTAAATAGTGTAAATACATTTAGAATTAAAAGAAAATGTATGTGAGCAGTGAAACAAAGCTAATGTTTCCTTCAGAGACTTCGGCATATATGTAAAAAGCTAGGTGTTCTCTGTTTTAAACTAGGAACAGATCTGTCTGGGGCAGTGTCAGAGTACTTTTTCCTTTGGGACACCTTAGTTCACCTTGCTGTCAGTAGTCAGCCTTGATATCTGAAATAAGGCTTTCTGCCTAGACTTAGTACACATTGAAAAGCTCTTCTTAGTTTCTCCATGAACCTGTTTGTACTTACCTTAAAACCGTGGTGACGCTGACATTGAAGTGCCGTTTTTACATGAACTGACTTCTCTGGAAGATGCCTTCTTCACCTCTCCTTGTCAAAGTTTTGGCTGGGGCTTTGCAGTCTCCCTTAGGCTGAGCCTTAAATATTCTAGTTTTCTGTACTGTTTTGTTTTATCCTAATCTACAATTCTGTTACATATCATCTTTTCTCCTATAAACAGTGTTCAGACTGACTTGTCAAGACCTTTTTTGGACTGTGCATCGTCTTTAAAATTGTATTTAGTTTCCTTGTTCTTGCTTCTGAAAGCACGAGCCTGAACCTCCCGTTTATTTCTTCATGAGCTGGCTCCTGTACTCTGCTTCCCACTACTCTGGCCGCCGCTCCCCGATTGCCTACACTGATCTCTTAGCTTAGAGGAGGACCTGTTTGATCTTAAGCATTATTTTTTTTTTTTTCAAGGAACATTTACTAGCCATTTGAATAAACACAGAGGTCATTAAAAGGGGGGAAAAATAAAATCTCTTATGATGTTATTTTGATGTTAAGTTATTTAGCTTTAAGACTTTCTCTTACTGCAGTGGGCATCTTAAAGATTCACCTAACGTGATCTTGGTTCTAGAATTATGGACTTGGGTCCTTATACAGGGAGGGAAAAAATGTTGTTCTTCTCTCGTGGTTTTAGAGAGGGTCTGAAAATTGTGTGAAATAGGGCGTTTCATATTTATGTTGAAAATATCCTTTATAAAGATTAATAGTTTGAATAGTGAAAACACTGTGGAGACAAACCTAATGTCTTGAGAGATAAAATGTTTTATCTGAATGGTTTGAGAGTTTAGAGGCTTTTCTGACTTTGAAAAATCTATTTTTGGTAAATAAATTTAACTCCTTTAATGAATATTGTGAGTATTAACAATGCTTGTCCTCCAGGACTCGCTCATAAAGCTGCCAGCAGGTTGGTCCAAGTTTGATTTGGTTTGGGGTTTTTTTTTAATTTATTTGAAGTCTTAAAAATAAACAGTTATTCTTTTTGCTTAAGAAGTAGCTTGAAATCCATCAGTCCCAGTTTTCTTCCCCTCTCTTCTCATTTGTCCCATTCTTGACTGGAGAAAGAAATGCTGGAAGAAAAAAATGGTGTTAAGTCTGTTATTATGCGATATGGGAAAAAATAAGATGAGCACTTTATAAGAGAAGTGTATTGATATGATAAAATTCATTCCTTGCTCTGGCATTTGCCATGAACTGACACTGTGTGAGCACATGTATCCACTATTTTAGTCCCTAAACCAGAATCATCAACAGTGAAAGAACTTAATCAGCTATGAAGTCATAGCGGGTATAAAATAGAAACTGTGAATCATGCTAATTATTGGAGATGCTGAACATTCTAACTCATCAAATCTGGTATGCTTCCTTTAATTATTTCCATTAGCTGAAATGTCAAATACAGAAAGATAAGGAACTTGGGTATTATCTCTGACTTGCTATGAAAATACTCATTATTTCAAAGAAGTCATTCTTCCTCAGATACTGTGTGTCCATAACTCTGCCCTCATAACTATCCCCAAATGTGTTCAATTCTACCCCCAGACTTGTGCTTGCAAGTTACATGGGACCATAGCAATGGTAGGAAGAGAAGTCTTTTGTCTTAATTGGCAAATAGAACAGCCAGTTTATTTGTGCAAAATAGTGACTTTTGACATCTTGGATATTACTGCATTTTAGGGAATTTTCCTTCATTCTCTGGCTAAAGTTGAAATAAACCTTAGGGTTTTGCACATTTTTGAGAGTAGACCAATGCAGTTAGCACTTCGTGATTTAAGTCACGGTTTGTGTAAAAAGGACACAGTAATGCAGTCTGTCTGCATTAAATGAAGTGCTTGAGCTGGTAAACTTTACCTCTTGCCTCACTCCCCCAGTGCTATACATGCTCATTTCTATGGAATTTGCATTTTGTTTGGTTTGATCTATCAATGTCTCATGGTACATGGCTTTTTTGAGTGTGCTTTTTGTCAAGTAGAGTGAAGTACAATTCTAAACCAGCATAGTTTATCATGTGACTCGAGTGTTGAAACCAACACCAGAAATTAAAAAAAAAAAAACCCACAAAAAACCCCTCTTAAATGGCAATTTTTTTTCTTTCTGTTGCTCCTATGAAGAATTCTGCTGAAGGAAACACTGTGTTTGTTTGTAATGAAAGAAAAGGCTCAGAAGAACAAGTGGACACACATCTTCAATGGCAGCTAAATCTCCTCACTCATATAGAGAATGTACAGAATGAAGTCACCAGCAGAATGGACCTGATTGAAAAAGAAGTTGACGGTAACTGCATTGCCACATACTTACTTGTTAATAGACCTGTGACAGCATCTGTCATAGCCACTGTGTTGAAGGTGGTCTGAGGCACTGAGGATGGATTTTTTACGTATTGTATTCAAATTTGGGTACCCAATATTATAACCAGATTTTGTATCCTTTATCCCCCCACCCCCTTCCACAAATTTTGAATGCCCAATAAAGTAGCTTAAGCACAGAGGACCACTGAAACTGTAGTTCAAGTTTGTGATATTAGGCAGACTTCGGAAAGCTTAGATAACTTGTCTCATCTTTGTCCAGATGTGGTTCATAAAGTTGATGTATTTTTCTATACCTGGAGTGGTTTTGGCCTGATTGTTCAAGTATTTGACCATATTTAGGAAAAAAAAGTTGCATTCATTCTGCCTTCAGGTTTGGTTTGCTATATATTAGTAAGTAACTAGTTTCAGGAAGACAAAACAGGCTTCATGAGAAAACTTGAATGGAATTGTAGCGTAGGAGTAACTCTTACAGCACATAAGTTTACTCGCCAGTCATAGAAACAAAGAATGAGGGGAGCTTCTAGTTATTGGAGTCCTTAATGATCTTCTGACAAATAAAGTTGTCTTATTCCTACTTACAGTTTTACTTTCAATATTCCTGCTTGTACCAGGCAGTATTTCTAGGCTACCAGTGTTGGCCTTTTCCCTTCTCTGTCTCTACAAGCATAGAAATTCCTTGAAAGAGATTGGAAAAACATTCTGGAATCCGGACCTTGTAAACAGAAGCCTGTTAGTGATGGAAGCAAGCCTTGCATTTAAGGATTGTGCTTTCTGTTGCAGAAGTGTCATAGCTAGAAGGCCATGAACTGAAGTTTCTTTTATGTGCGTAGATGATAAATTTTTAACCAAGGGTATAATTTGCTCCCAGGTTCCTTTTTTATAGTAACAATCAAATCAGAAGATATGTTTGGATTGAGTGAAATGCAGAATTAGTTGGTGTTTCCCTAATAAACTTTTCTTCTGTTCAATAAAAATCACAGCCTCAGTATATTTTCCCTTCTTATAAAAGAGTGTAAGAAAGAAAAGTTGAGTTTTTATGAAAACTGCTTCTCGAAGACAGATTCTAATCAACTTCTTCCTTTTCTTTCTGTAGTTTTAGAAAGCTGGCTTGATTTCACTGGAGAACTGGAACCACCAGATCCTCTGGCAAGATTGCCTCAGCTCAAGCGACGTATCAAACAGCTCTTAATTGACATGGGGAAAGTACAGCAAATAGCAACTCTTTGCTCTGTATGACAAAAGGAAGAATAAAGAAATAAAAATAGGTTCTTTACATGAATTTTCTTACTTGCCACAAGACTGACAGGGAGACAGCAAAAAGCTGAGCATTTATCTGGTTCTTTGCTGATTACATTAGTAGCCTGGAGCTTTAGAGAGAGGAGAGGAAATCTAGAGTAAGGAATCTGTTATATTGAAAATCTGAGTATTCAGTGTCCAAGTTTCAAAATGTAATATATTACATACTGAGAAATGTTGATATGATTTTAACATGATAAACAAAATCCCCATCTTTAAGAAAGTTGAACAAACAAAAACTGTGTGAAGAACAATGCTACTATTTTGAGACCTTTGGCAAAAAAAATCTGAATTCACAGAATTCAGCTGACTGAAAAATTCTCGGGAACTTCTTTTTTAATGAATTCCTTTTATCTTGCTAGTGAAAGATAGACACAGAGAGATCTGTATCCTCTCTACAAGGAAAGTTTTTAGATTATTTCCTTCTCTCATGAATGTTCAGGAAAATGAACATACTAGCTTTGGGTTTTGAAAGAAATTACTTATCATGGTCTCCTTCTTAAAGTATTTTTTTAAATAGAAATCCTTATTACAGCACCCTTAGGCTCCTTTAAAACATAAGTGGCAAATAGCGGTCAGATGTGCCAAATAATATTAAAACCACTGGGATGAGAGTTTGATTATGACTTACATGAAGGTTTTTTTCCAAAGTCCTACTCAGTGCCAGCAATCCATCCAAAATTTTATCTAGTTTATATTTTTAATGTTCTATTGCAGTATTCAGGATTCAAGGTACCGTTTTTGTCCTGGGTAGCTCTGTTCTGGTGTTGGCCCTCTGAAACTTTACCATCCTCAGCTGGGATGAGGAATGACAAGAGCAGCAAACCTGTCTGTGGCTGTGAATATACTAAACCACTAGAATAAATATCACAAGATACATTATCCAAGATGTTTTTATAAAATCTTTTGGCTTCGGTGAATGAAATGTCATGAAACCAAAGGCAACCTATTTGCTCTGTTAGGTCTTGCTGGATTTTGAGCCCAGGACTTTCCCTGTGCTTATAAGTTGCCACTGTACCCAGTGCTACATACGTATTTGTATGTATATGTGTATAGATACACATGTACATATATACATGCTATATACATTTATACCTATACATGTCTAGTTTTATTACGATAGACTATAAGAACTGGTGGTTAACATGAAATGTTACCTTTTAACAAGCAGTTTCTAAAATTGAAAATAATGTATGTACAGGTTTTGAAATTTGTAAAATATGACTGTTAAAAGGAGGCTATTTAACTGATGACATTAAGATACTTGAACATTTTATGCCTCACATCTGTTTATCAGTTCTAGTTATCTGTATAAATGCATTTTAGAACCGATAGACAGTAAACTTGAATTTACCTTTTGATAAGAGTACAAGCCACTGTACATTCAAAAATTATTTAAATTTGCAAACACACTGTTCTATATGTAAGGTACTGTATGTAAAACTGTTTATTAAAACTATTCTGCATACTCTTCATTTTCCACTTTTCTTCCTGATCTACATCTACATGTAAAAAAGAAGTGATTGTTACAATGTACAGACCATCAAAAAAAAAAAAAAATATCTTGGAATGCCTTTTGAGGATGCATAAAACTGAAAAATGTGCCAAAGATGGATTATGTGGGAAAGACTTTGCAACCAGTGCGTTGAACTTTCATGACTGAGAAAGAAAGCAGCATGGCTGGTTCATTGCTAAAATAAACCTACCCTGACACTTCCTGTCTGTCTATCATGTCTGAAGTGAGTTATCACTCTTGATGTCCAAAGCAAAATGTAAACCCCTGTTACAGAGTGGTTGCTATTTAAAAAGTCTTGCCGCATCAAGCTTATAGGAGACACTACAGAGCTGTATGGTAACATGGAAGTTAATTACGGAATCATGATTGGCAACTTCATAATGCAGAAAGAACACAAGAGCTGAGGAGTTGTTGTTGATGTTTTTATAGCAACTGTTAATAAATAAAATACTCTGTTATATAGTTGGATGCTTAAATAACTGCTTCAAACTATGAATAGTTGAGTGACCTACTTGCTTTGGGATATGTGAGACTTTTTTATCTATTATTCACTTGCTGCGTAGCCTTGAATGTGGTACTGTGTGTACTGTATAAGAGAAGTGTAAATCCAGATGAATTACTTTGAAACAAAGTGGAGTATATTTACATAATTTATACAGCATACACTGTAGCAATATTATGCAATGTGTGTGCATGCGTGTGATGTAATATAACTGTAAATGTTACTGAAGGTGGAGGTGGACCAAGAGATTCCAGGCAGGAGAATGGAGGTTTCACTCTTAGGGCAGAGATGGAGGAATTGGTATCCCGAAAAGGAAACTATAAGGTCAAAGTTGCTCTTGCAGCTTTAACTTGTCTTCTGTTTGTATGTGTAATAGTCTCTGAATTTACATGAGTATGTCATTGTATCCCTCAGGATCTGGCCTTATTCAGGATGGACTGTGCTTACAGAAACAATCTGTTCAGTTTTTTTTTTAATCTTCATTTCTTGTGTAGTCACATATTATAGAAGTTCCTGCAAACATCTTTATCTTCCAAGAAATACAATCTCTGTGTCCTTATGGACAGTGCTGTGATACATTGCGTATTGCTTGAATGCTTCACAAACGTGTCTGAGTTTGCTTTCGCAAATTGTGGTGTTGGTCTGTAAGATGTGAACATTCGTTTTGGCCCCAGTTTCTCAAATATTCGAAGGTTTGGGATGCTTTTGGAGTTGTTTTGTTTTGTTTTTTTTTTTCTTAAACACAAGTCAAGTGCCATAACAATACAAAGTGTTTTGCACAGAATGTAACCTACAGTTGATTGCTTTTCTTGTGTGCCATCAAACCCGATGTGATCTGGCTCATACCAGTATTTTTTCCAGTTGGCCTTATCGAGAGAATCTTTTCCCTGTAGGCATCATTTTCCATCGGTCTTCCTGTTTCCTCTCTAAATGAGCCAGGGACCTACACACACTCTACTTGCAATGTTGCTTATTGGGGTGTGAGTTGCAATTACTTGTGCTTTATGAAGAAGGAGGCAGACCCTCGCTGAGGAAGAAATAGTATATAGTGATATAAGGACTGGTTTTGATACATGTGCACAGAAAGGTAAAAATTTTAAATTTGCAGCCTTCTTTTAACTGACTAGAAGTTCTTAATAGTAATAAACAAAAAGGAAATGCCATTGTACAGAAGCCTCTTGTGATTTCACAGGGCTCAATGGCAAATCTGTAGAGCCTTTAAACGCCCAGCTTTTTGTCAGAGAGTTAGTAGGTTTTATTTCACGGAGGTATCAGAGTGATTCATTTCAAAGCCTTCTCCCTATGACCCTACCGTAGGCATCTACATCAGGAATTCTGTGTTTTCAGTTGCAGTGATGGCAGTAAGACATCAGTATTACATTTATTAACATAACGTTGTCTTGGTGACATGATCAGGTATCACATGAGGGGGCAGCCTATGTTTCAGTTACAAAATGAAGGTACCTCAAGTCATGGGGCAGGGAATGGGTTGGAAGATGCTTCCTGCTAACCCTTTTCTTGGGTAGCTGTAGGTTGAGTAGTGCCCATATTTTGGATGTTCTGGCCTTAGATGCATAGATCTTTGTTCATCTCTGGAGTAATTTAGAGTGACAGAAGCCTGTCGTCCTCTTTAAAATGGTCAAAGAAGATAGGTTGCAGTTTTCTCATAGGTTTCATGTATTTGCTGGGTGGCAAAGAACTCAAACTGTTCTTCCATGGGTGCAGTCCTCTTGCATGGCTGACATCCACCAGTCTCTTAATTTTGCCTCTGAGCGTCTACATGTGCTCCTCATCTGTTGTGCAGCTTGCATCTGTTTTTCCTTTTGTGCTTCAGCTTTCTGCACTGTCGTCTTTTGCTGTGCCTGGAGGGTTTCACTCCTCCATCCTTGTGGCCGGTTCTTTGGCTGCTGTGGGAAGCAGTC